GTATGGAGGGATGGACACTGGGAAGAGGTAACTATGGGGAGGAAGTGGGAGGGGAGCTGTTGCATTGTGGTAAAATGTGGTCAATGACATAAGACAAAGTATATGAGAACTGCTGTATGGAAAGTGAATTTGCTCTGTAAATCTTCACCCAAATCACAATAAATAGTAAAAAAACAAAAAACAAAACAAAACAAAAAAACCCACTGCAATGAAGTTGATTCTGACTCATAGTGATCCTGTAGGACAGAGTAGAACTACCCTATAATGTCTCCAAGGTTGGAAGCAGATTATCTCATCCTTCTCCTACAGATTGGCTGTGGGGTTCGAATGGCTGACCTTTTGATTAGCATCCTAATGCATTGATGCTCCCACCAGAGCTCCTAGTAATTAATAAATGATAATTATAATTATTACTGGGAGTTTTGGTTTTTAAGAGGGGTAAAAGACTGAGTGGTCCAGAGAAAGTTGAATCTGGTGGTAGCAGCCAGAATGAGTTGGAAGGCAAGAGCAAGAGCAAGGAAAGTAGACAATTATTGAAATAATCTAGATACTAAGTATTTCCTGAAAATGTTGTCATGTTATGAATAAGCAATGAAGGGGGGAAGCTAATGAATCAGACAGACAATGCAAAGGTATAATCAGAATGAAATGATATATTTATCAAGCACTTTACATCTTTTTAGAGAATTATGAAGTCATTGTCAACTTGTAATTGGTATTAAGTACATGGGTACCCTTTTGGCTTGCAGCTCAAAAATGATGGTTCTAATTATGATATCCTAAATATACTGGAAAACTAACCTTCTTCCATTTCAACTATCCCCTCTGCCAAACTAAAATCCTTTCTTTTTTGGTATATTTTTTAGAGATCTAAAACAATCCAGGTATCCTCCCCTCTGCACCTCAGGTAAGATTCTTCTTGAACAGGGACTACTGATTGAAATCCCACTGTCTGTTTTATTTCAGTGCAAGCAGCTAATCACTCAGTCTGTAGACTCCAGCAGAGGGAACAAGAACAAAAAAAGGTAAAAAAATTTGAATAATAGAGCATATAACTCTCAGACTTTTATTTTCATCATATTATAAACAGATGCTTTCTCTGAAATTATTGTCTTTTATGCAATAATAGATAAATTGTTGAAATTCATTGAGGAGGATCGTGTGATTGCACTATGCTCACAATCATTGCTATGTTTGACCCCATTCTTAAAGCAACTGTGCCAATCCATTTCATTAAGGGTCTTCCTCTTTTTCACTGACCCTCTACTTTAACAAGCATGATGTCCTTCTCCAGAGACTCATCCCTCCTGATAACATGTCCAAAGTACGTGAGATGAAGTCTTACGGTCCTCACTTCAAAGGAGTTTTCTGGCTGTAGTTCTTACAAGACAGATTTTTTTTTTTTCTTTTGCAAGTCCATGGTATATTCTTTGCCAGTACCATAATTCACATGCATCAGTTCTTTGGTCTTCCTTATTCATTGCAGCTTTAGCATGCATATGAAGCGACTGAAAATACCATGGCACACATTAGTCCTCCAACTGACATCTCTACTTTTTAACACTTTAAAGAGATCTTTTATAGCAGATTTACCCAATGCAATATGTCATGCTATTTCTTGACTGGTTCCATGGGTATTGGTTGTGGATTCAAGTAAAATGAAATCCTGATAACTTCAATATTTTCTCTGTTTAATCATAATGTTGCTTATTTGTCCAGTTGTGAGGATTTTTGTTTTCTTATGCTGAGGTGTAATCATACTGAAGGCTGTAATCTTTGATCTTTATCAGGAAGTGCTTCAAGTCTTTTTCACTTTCAGCAGGCAAGGTTGTGTCATCTTTATATTGCAGGTTGTTAATAAGTTCCTCCAATTCTGATCCTGCATTCTTCTTTATGTAGTCCTTCTCAGATTACTTGCTCAGCATACACATTGAAAAAATATGGTAAAATGATACAGCTCTGGTGCACACCTTTCCTGATTTTGAACTATGCAGTATCTGCTTTTTCTGTTCACACATCTGCCTCTTGGTCTGTGTACAGGTTTCACATGAGCACAATTAAATACTCTGGAATTCCCATCCTTCACAATGTTATCCGTAATTTATTTTGATCCACACAGTGAGATGCCTTTGCATAGTCAGTAAAACACTGCTAAACATCTGTCTGATATTCTTTGCTTTCCACCAAGATCTATCTAACATCAGCAGTGATATCCCTCACTCCATATCCTGAATCTAGCTTGATGTTTTGACAAGTCTTGTCGATGTACTGCTGCAAACGTGTTTGAATTATTTTCAGCAAAATTTTTCTTGAGTGATATTAATGATATTGTTCAATAATTTCCACATTCTGTTGGGTCATCTTTCTTTGGAATGGCATAAATATGAATCTCTTCCATTTGCTGTATTCCAAATTTCTTGGCATAGACGAGTGAACACTTTCAGTGTTGGATCTATTTGTTGAAACATGTCAATTCCTGGAGCCTTGCTTTTTGCCAGTGGCTTCAGTAAAGCTTAAACTTCTTCCTTCAGTACCATTGATCATATGCTACCTCCTGAAATGGTTGAATGTTGACCAATTCTTTTTGATACAGTGACTCTATGCAGTCCTTTCATCTTTTCATGATCATTGCATCAGAAATTCAGTATTTTGCCCATAAAATCCTTCATTATTGCCACTTGAGGCTTGAATTTTTCTTCAATTCTTTCAGTTTGAGAATGCTGAGTGTGTTGTTCCCTTTTGGTTTTATAACTCCAGGTCTTTGCATATTTCATTATAATACTTTGTCTTTTTGAGAGGCCTTTTGAAGTTTTCTTTTCAGCTCTTCATCATTTCTTCCTTTTACTTTATCTACTCTATATTCAAGAGCAAGCTTCAGAGTCTCTTCTGACATCCATTTTGGTCTTTTCTTTCCTGTCTTTTTAATGACCTTTTGCTTTCTTCACGTATGATGTCCTCTATGCCATCCCACAACTCATCTGGTTGATCATTAGTGTTCGTTGTGTCAATTCAGTTCATAACATAGTCTCTAAATTCAGGTGGGACATACTCAAGGTTGTACTTTGGTTCTCATAGACTTATTTTAATTTTCTTCAGCATGAATATAAGCAGTTGATGGTCTGTTCTGCAGTCAGCTCCTGGCCTTGTTCTGACTGATGATATTGAGCTTCTCCATCATTTCTTTCCACAAATGTAGTCAATTTGCTTCTTGTGTATTCTGTCTGGAGAGGTCCACTTATATAGTTGCTGTCTATGTTGTAGAAAAAAAGCATTTCTAATATATAAGCCATTGGTCTGGCAAAATTCTGTTATGTGATCTCCAGAGTCATTTCTGTCACCAAGGCCATATTTTGCAATTACTAATCTTTCTTTGTTTCCACCTTTCTAATTCCAGTCACTAGTAATTATTAATGCATATTGATAGCATATTTAATCAACTTCATACTGCAGAACTTGGTTAAAGTCTTCAGTGTCCTCATCTTTGGCATTAGTTGGTGATGCATAAATTTGAATAATGGTCATATTCACTGGTCTTCCTTACAGGCGTGTGGATATTATCACTGGGAGCGTTGTACTTCAGGACAGATCTTGAAATGTTCATTTTGGTGATGAATGTGATGCCATTCCTCTTCAATTTGTCTAATTCAGAATGACCAAAAACATCCATTTCAGCTCACTAATGCCTAAGAGCTCTGGTAGCATAGTGGCTAAAGCACTTGACTGCTAACCAGAAGGCTGGTGGTTCAAACCCACCAGCCACTCCTCAGAAGGAAGGTTGGGCAATCCTACTTCTGTAGTGATACTGCCTCGGAAACCCAAGGAGGGGTCGCTATGAGTCGGGGCCGACTCGACGGCACACAACAACAACAACAACAACAATGCCTAAGATGTCGATCTTTATTCCATTTCATTTTTGATGACTTCCAATTTTCCTTATTTTATTCCACATAGAAATTTTTTTATTGTGATTTGAGTGAAAGTTTATAGAACATATAGGTTTTTCATTCAACAATTCATACACATTTTGCTTTGTGACATTGTTTACAATCCCTACCATGCAACAGCACTCTTCCCACTTTCCCCCTGTGTTTACTGTTTGCAATCATCCTTCTTTCCTGTCCCTTCCTGCCTTCAGAGCCCTGGGCAAATACTACCTTTTCTTTTTTCCCTATCTCATATGGTTGGTTGTTCTAAGGAGTGCATACTTCCCTGGTGTTATTGTTCAGCTTGTCTATTGTTTGGCCAAAAGTTGAGCCATGGAAGTGAGTTCAGTTCCAGGCTTGATGAATGTCAAAGGTTTGTGGTCTCGGGGGTTCCACCAATTTTTATCAGATCAGTAAGTCCACGTTCTGATTGTTAATGGATGTTTGCAGTGGTTTCTTCTGATTTTGAGTCATGTCACATCAGCAGATGAAGGATCCTAAAATTTTACTTTGTCTTCATCTTTAAGGTCAACCCTGCTTTGAGGAGGCAGTTGTTTCCCAGTCTTATTTTGAGTGCCTTCCACCTGAGGGATTCATGTTTTGGCCTTATATGAGACAGTATTCTGCTGCTATTCATAAGGTTTTCACTGCCCATTTTTTTAGAAGTAGATTGCCAGATCCTTCTGCTTAGGCTGGTAGCTATAGCGGCTGGTAGCTCTGCTGAGACCTGTCCCACCCTGGATAACCCTGCTGGTATTTGAAATACCTTTGGCATAGCTTCCAACATCACAGCAATGCATTAGCCCCCACAGTACAACAAACTGATAGACAAGTGGAAGAAATAATACCTACGAGATTGGAAATATTACATCGTTCCTTTGAGCCTGAACCATTAAGTATATTATGTGCATTTTTTTTTTTTTTTTTTTAAGAAAAGGAAGCTTTTCATGCTTGTGGATAGGTTACTTAATGAATAATCAGAGAATTATGTAAATCACTTGCTGGGCAGTGCTTTGCTTATTTGAATTATATTGTAACTAAATTCATATGTGGAAAACAGTCTAAGAATTTAAGTCCCTGTGATAATTTGGTGTTTTCACAAAGTATTTTGCCCTAAATTAAGATATATTTACTAAGAAATGTTGAAAATGCTAAGTCACTCAGAAAATAATGTCTTTTAGCATGTGTGTATCAACAGATGTTGCTATCTCCATTTCTCTGGAATGTGTTGTGGTTACTCCACAGTAATAGTTCAACTTAAATCTTGCCTAGGTTAAAGTTTCTGCCCCTTCTGCTCAACTCTAGATGTTGATACAAAGTTTGAAAATTCAACACTTTGATGAAAGTGAAAAGACTCTAAGACAGGTGGGAAGGCTGCCCAAGAGTAAGAAGAGTCCTAGCAGGCCAGGTCAGGAAGCAAGGTCATTACTGAGCACATCTATAATAAGACAAGGCAAAGCATAGTCAGGAAATGAGTGTCAGGGTGTGGTGCTGGCATGGTGTCCAGAGAATGCTGTAAAGTCTGGGCATCGGGCCTTCAATGGACCATGCTGGCTGGATAGTATACACTTTTTGGTCCTCTGCCTTGCTATGTGCCAATGAGGATGAGAGATTTAAATTTGTTCAGTTTAAGGTGATTTGTACACTCGAGGAGCTAAAAATCTAGAAGAGGAAACCCAAACCAGTTATATTAGTAATACTAATACAACATAGGCTAGAAAATTAGTTGTGATAAACTTGTACAAAACTTTGTAGGATCTTCCAAAAGGAATAATTTACTAGGAAGATAGCGGAATTCAAGCCAGACCTTAATGAGTGACTAGTTGCCATTGAGTCAGTTCCAACTCATGGTGATCCCATGTGTACAGAGTAGAACTGCTCCATAGGGTTTTCAAGATCTTTCAGAAACAGATGACCAGGCTCTTCTTTTGCACCTCTGGTCAGTTAGTAGTCTAATGCTTAATCATTAGTGCCACCCAGGGATCTGACAGGTGACTAGGAATTGATAAAAGATAGGAAGAGAGAGACTGCAGGTTGAGGAATATAGTGTAAGCAAGATCAAAAGATGTGAGAAGTCTATAGTCTGCTACAGCTGGTATATA